TTTTTTTTTGTGATTAAGTTCCGTGATCTCCATTATGACATATGAATCAAGAGTAAAATCTTACTCTAATAATGCAAGTATCTTTGTGCATCATTCTTTTTGTTGTTTAATTCTGGGGTGGTTTAGTTTTTTAGAGATCCAATGACATTACACAATTAAACCAAAAATGTCTTTTATTTATTCGACTTTGTTATAGGTGGATTTGTTTCCTAATTTTGGAGAAAATGGGGAAGTTCTAGGGTCAAATGGAGCTTTGGACTCCAAATCCAATGTTCTAGTAATAAGACTTCGATGGGCAATTTTTATTTTTAAATATGTCCTACATTTTTCTCATGGCCAATTCACTAAGAATTGTTTCTCTGTGCATTGTATGGCTTTTATTTATTGGGTTCTTCTCTTCGTATCTATTTGCATAGACAAATTTAAATATTTGCTTTACTCAATAGTAGTACAGAATGCTATAGAATATTTATCCTGATTTTGCAACTGTGGCTCGTAACAGATGGGAAGACAGTTAAGAAGCCTCGCCGTCCATATGAGAAGGAGCGTTTGGATGCAGAGCTGAAGCTTGTTGGTGAATACGGGCTCCGATGCAAGAGAGAACTCTGGAGGGTGCAGTATGCATTGAGTCGTATTCGTAATGCTGCTAGAAATCTTCTCACCCTTGATGAGAAAGACCCCCCGCCTCCAAACACTTGTGTTCAAGGCTGGTATGGCCAAGTCAATTCATCATGCCTGTGTGCTCATCAGGCAGAGGCATATCAGGTATACATTCTATTATGGCTCTCTAACTTGTTTCATTGAAACTTCAGTAGTGTTCTCTGCTAATTGATGGAATGAATAGTTCGTCGTGTTTCACATCTTACATTTTTTTGCATTTGAATGTTAATCCTTTTGGTTTATTTTTATGGAGGATTATGAATGTAGATTTTGTTAGTTTTTTGTTTGTTAAATGTGGTCAAAAGAAAATCAAATGAACAATCCCTTCCATTCTTCATATTTCAAACTTCACTTTGTAATACTGTGTGTCAGAAAGCTTTCTTTCTTTTAATTCATTTTGAAACTAATAATATTTGATTGTAATGCAATGAACTTTTAGAAAATGAACAAGATAATGGAAAATGCGTCAAACTGAAACCAAATACTCAATTTAGAAATTTAATTGTGACTGTGTTGTGTTATTTAGAGTTTATTTTACGAGTATGCTGAACTTTAGACACCATTATTGGTTTAATATATGGAATTGCACAGCTACCTAAAATGCAGTGATTCAATTTCCCTTTTCAGTAAAAATGGTTGTACGGCCACCTTAAACACAGTGATTCTGGTTTCCCTTTTCTGTAATAATGGTCATATGGCACTTATGAATACACCTTCAGTATCTTAGCTGCAGAGGTTTCATAGACCAAGGTTGAATATGGGGGATTTTTCTGACCAGAATACAAATAATCTTCATCTTTATTTCCACAAAAAAAGGCCTTGAGTTGAGGAACTTAGTTGCTTGCATAAGCTTCCTTTTTGAATATCAGCTGGTATTGTTTTATCAGAACTGCTTGCGGCGGAGGCTTTAAGTTGTTATGCTTATGTGATCAGGTGAATTAGGTGTTTGCACAGATACCATGATTTTTTGCTAATCTATATTGTTTGGTTCTGCTAAATTCCTGTTATGAACACCTTAAAAGTTCTTTTGTAGGAATCTCAAGAGCTTCACTTTTGTAGGTTTCCATGTGGATGACTCAGAAGTCACGTTAAATGTCTGCCTGGGAAAGCAATTTTCTGGCGGTGAACTATTCTTCCGTGGTGTGCGTTGTGAAAAACATGTAAACACTGAAACCCAGTCGGAGGTAAGTGGTCTTTCCTGGAGTTACCTTTACTAGTGTACTTTGGTGCCTTTAGGGACATTAATTTGTTTTCTTTCATGGACTGGTCTTACTGATATTAAATTGTAATTGAACTGTAAACACTTGAAAAGTAATCTTGATCAGTGAAAATTGCAATTACTTTCTGTTATCCTGTTTTATTTAGTTTAGAAATTGCAATTGTGCAAAAAGACCTACAAAATGAGTTTTTACTTTCTGTCTTATTTCCAATCAGGTTGGACTTTTCTCCATGTTGGATTTGCCGTGTGTTTTAACTGGACCTAGGGAAACTGGTTGTTTGAACTACAATGTCTTCCACTTTTTGATGAAGGCAAAATAATAATTTCATTTAATTTTGGATTTGTTCGTTTTTGGTGAATTGCTAGTCTAATTTGATTGGAAACGGGCCAATGATCACAACTCAGATGCACGTCAAATTTTGGGCAAATTCCATCGTTTAAGTCCTCGATTAAACGTTTTTGCCGTTTATGATAATTTTTGTTTTGACAATATCTTAGTCAAATAAACTCGGATTTGATTTCCGTTTGTTGGAGGATGATCCTGATGATTAGGAGAATCAAGATCCGTCATTATCTCAATTTTTTCCATTTTTGGAAAAAAACAATATTTTTTATTATTAGGTAATTTCTTTCCGAATTTTCTTAGGGTTTCGCTATTTAAACATTGTAAGCCCTTTGAGACAGCTCAGTTTTAGATGAAATAAAGTTTTTCTTTTGAATTTCTCTTGATTGAAATTCTTTTTTTGAGATTTTTGTCTTTCCTATAATTTTCCGCTGCATCAATAATGATGAAGGCAAAATAATAATTTCATTTAATTTCAGGTTTGTTCGTTTTTTGCGAATTGCTAGTCTAATTTGATTGGAAACGGGCCCTGATGCACGTCAAATTTTGGGCTAATTCCATCATTTAGGCCCTCAATTAAGCGTTTTTGCCGTTTATGGTAATTTTTGTTTTGACAATATCTTAGTCAAATAAACTCGGATTTGATTTCCGTTTGTTGG